GTTACATGCCTTCCCTTTTGGAGTTTAGGCAGAACTGACCAGCATAAATGTTAAAATAGAGATCATAAGACTAACAAAACAGACTCTTTGTGGCAATAAGGGACCAAATGATAAATAGGACCTGAGTCCATGCCAGGCAAAGATTAAGTCACACATCCCCACGGGTCACTTTGACACAGTGGTTTGGTTAGCAGACTTCCTCAACTGAAAACATTCCTTTCTGCTGACTCAACATTTTTAGACAAAGTTTAATCTTTCAACCAATTGCAAATTAAAGACTCTGGACCCACCTATGACCAGTAAGCCCCTACTTTATGATATCCTGCCTTCTGGGGCCAAATCAATGTCTAATCTCCATGTACCGATTTATGACTTTTTCGTAACTTCTACTCCCCTGAGATATGTAAAACAGAGCTGTGACCTAACTGCCCTGAGACCACTTACTCAGGGCTTTTTCTGTTTGTGTCTCTCCCTGGGCTGCAGTTGCTCAGGCTGGGTCAGAATAAACCTCTTTCAAGTAGTTTATGGAGTTTGTTTTTTCCATTAACACTGAGTGGGTTGCTCTCCCCAGCAATGGAAATGCAGTGCCTTTTGTTAACAAGCAGGAAAACAGCGTGCAGCAAACGCTTTTCTCTTTCTAGCCTGGTCTTTTATTTGCCATGGAATGTCACACTTTCTTGGGCACAAGGTGAATGTCAACTTTCACACTTGACTGGGGGCCCTGCCCAGTGACTTAGGGGGCATACAGGCTACCAGCTGTTCCTATGCTGCACCCACCCTGAGACCTTGTGGGGCAAAGGCATAGTCAGTCTTCCCCCCACCACCCATTCCCTCACTGACCGTAGAGGACACTAGTGGTTCCTGGGTGGAGGTAGATACAGATGGAGAGCCCAGGTGTGGCCCAGGACACCAACGGAAGGGGAGGATTGACCAGTCAAGAACCTGTCTTGGGCTGGGCGTGGTGGCTCACTCCTATAACCCCAGCACTTTGGGAGGCCAAGACAGGTGAATCACCTGAGGTCAGGAGTTCAAGACCAGCCTGGCCAACATGGTGAAGCACTGTCTTTACTGAAAATACAAAAATTAGCCGGGCCTGGTGGCAGGCGCCTGTAATCCCAGCTACTCAGGAGGCTGAGGCAGGAGAATCGCTTGAACTTGGGAAGCAGAGGTTGCAATGAGCCGAGATTACACCACTGCACTCCAGCCTGGGCGAAAGAGTGGAACTCCGTCTCAATAATAATAATAATAATAATAATAATAAGAACCTGTCTTGGGGAGGTAGGGAGGCAGTGGCAGGTGGGAACACACATGAGCTAGAGTACAAACACTCACTTAAGCACCACTGTACAATCAGACCTCATGTATAGCACACAAATTCAAAGATAAATTAAAAATTTCAGCCGGGCGTAGTGGCTCATGCCTGTAATCCCAGCACTATGGGAGGCCGAGGCAGGCAAATTACAAGGTGAGGAGTTCCAGACCAGCCTGGCCAATAAGGTGAAACCCCATCTCTATTAAAAATACAAAAATTAGCTGGGCGTGGTGGCTCACGCCTGTAATCCCAGCACTTTGGGAGGCCGAGGCGGGTGGATCACAATGTCAAGAGATCGAGACCATCCTGGTCAACATGGTGAAACTCCGTCTCTACTAAAAATACAAAAAATCAGCTGGGCATGATGGCACGTGCCTGTAATCCCAGCTACTCAGGAGGCTGAGGCAGGAGAATTGCCTAAACCCAGGAGGCGGAGGCTGCGGTGAGCCGAGATATCGCGCCATTACACACCAGCCTGGGTA